AAAAAAAAAAAAAATCAGCTGCAAAGTGTGGCATCTCCATCCACCATCGTCCTCTCCTCTGGTGACCCCTGGGTTATAGTACACTGACCTCTGACCTCTAATTATATCCCAAGTGCTCATTAGAAACGTGTCCAGGTGAGTGCAAAGTGCAGGGCACACTGCTGTAATTGGCCATTATAACATTTCAGCCCCATCTGACACCTCCCTCTCTCTCTGCCGGCTCTCTGAAGCCTTATGCAATTAGTTCTGTGTCAGGCTTTATCAGAGGAAAGTCTCTTCTGTTAATGCACAGCCTGGTCTACAGGGCTTATGCTTTCTGCACTGAAAGCAAAAATTAAATTCACCTTCAAAAGTCACAGCACTCTCAGAAAGCATATGGCATTCAGAAGGGTCCTGTTTTGCTCTCTTTCTCCCAGAAAACACCCCTTAATGCGCCAAATTGTACTAAATGTTCACTTGTAGTGAGGTGGGGGGGGGACTAACCAAGTATTTTTTAAATGATATTTTAATTGGTCACGTGACTTAAATCTATACAGTAGATGATTTAATGAAATATCAGTGTAGATATATGTCATGTGAGAATATAAAGGAGTTTATTCTATTATATTCTTTCTTTGTTTCTTTCTTTCTTTCTTCCTTTCAAAATTGTTTGACCATATGCTTCTATTGACTTTGGCTGCATGTGTAGTGACTTTGTGTGTAGTAATTCAAGCTGATGAGCTACATTTATGTTCTGTTTAGTGAAACATTTCCTTAGATTTTTAGTGCCATCTAGTGAATATGATGCACAACAGCACACATTTAGCACAATTTTAAAAGGGGGCTGAAATATGTGAAAGAAAGAACTGGAACATATGTCCAGAATATTTCAAGAAATGCACTAAACACGAAAACCTGTCATTATGCATGAGTGCTTGCACGCTTAAATATTATTATTAAATTACTATATCACATAATGAATTCATTCATTTCAGTTTAAATTTATTTATATATTTATTAATTTGATTTTAATTCATTATTGTTAATATAAATATTTATATATATATATGAAGTAAAATGTATGTTAATATTAATGAATATATAAATAATAAATATGATAATAAACATTTTACTAAATTAACTAAATAAATTAATAAATATATTCATATAAATATGCCATAATAAATTGTGCATTTATTTTTTACATTTAAATTAAAATCATTCACTCTACTTATTCACCAAAAACAAAATAAAACTGTTATTTTAAATGGCATAATGAATAGGAAATTAGAAGAGAATATTAGAGAATAATAGATAATTTCATGCATTCCCTGGTTAATTTAAACGCTTTAAAATGTCAGTGTATGAGTCCCTCAAGGCATTATTAGACGGATGAATGGAAAATCCATAGGTGAATTGAGGAATATATCTCTCACAGGAACAGCCCAGAGACGTCTCGACTCCAGCAGCCGCTGGTCAGGAGGAGCCAGGGGCCCCAGAGAGAGACGACAGCAAAGGCTCCGCAGAAAGAGTATTCTTCTAGTGGTGGTGTTAGTGTGCATTTACACCCCTGTGTGAAGAGTAGTTCATTACCCTACCACTAACCTTCAGACATCTGGATGGCTCACTGCCAGCAATGAAAAGGACTAGACGTTGTGTTTGCTCTGGTGAGCAGCCTGGGAATATACAGTACATATTTCCCATGCCAATGTTTTGTGTTTGATTTGTCTTTTTTTAAAGGACAGCTGTGGCTGACAAAGTAAAATTATATTATATCATATTAGTTTCATTAAACACAACTTAGATAATGAATATTACCAATGTTACCGAACTGTGAATGTTACCATTTCCTACATGCTATTTTCTAAATGCACAAGCTTCTAGAATTAAACAAGGAAATATTCCAGCTGTTTCCTTTTTTCTCTCTCTCTCTTCTATAATTGAACTATTTGAGACTTTTGACTTTCCTGTTAATGTTTCGTAATATACCTTTAAACAATAAAGCCCTTAATGACATCATCCTCCAGGAAGTGACATCATTTTGGAGGGAAAATAACAACAGCACAAACATTAAATCTGATATTCTAAAATCAAAATGTGAAAACATGTTTAAGGGGGGTGAACATTTTTATTTTACTTGTACTTGTAACTTCAAACTATTTTCTTGCTCTCAATCATTAATTGAACAATGGCTATATATATAACATTGTGTTTATCATGTTTTGAACTAGCATATTTACATGCACACGATTACAGAAAAATTATATATATATAATTTATACAGACACACTTTTGAAAATAACAAGCTTGCAATTAAAAAACATAATGCAGAATAACAATAATAAAAACTTTTTTTTTTTCTGTAGCCGTTACAACTTTACCAGTTGTGTAATAATATTTGCAAATAAGATGCAGAATTTGTCATATAAAGGCCTAGTATATTTCATGTTTTAAATGTTCAAATGGGAAATGTCGCCTTGTTTTATTATAGCAAAGTCGAAAAAATTGCCCATTCGTCTTTCCCTTAAAATGCTTCTAGGAAAAGATAAGCTTTCAATCATCTGAACATGTAAATGTTTATCTATCTATCACACTCCTCAAGCGCTGCTCTGCGAATCTGAGCTCTGATTGGCTGTCTCTCGGTTACAAGCCACGAATCAGTCTGATTGGCTGAAAGTTTTCCACGCATCTCTTTCATTCATGTCAGTCCCGGCTCGCAGCAGCGCGTCTGGATGAGAGAATGATTGAGGCCATCAGCGCTGACGGATCGCTCTGCCAAACACACTGACTTACATTCAGGGCGAAAACGCATCAATTGCATCAATTCACCAGATCGGAATAACGATGCCAGAACTGTGGACGTCGTCCTTTTGCCTGTCTGGAGTTCTATTTATAACCTTTCTTTCCCTGGGGACCGCAAGCTCCTCATCAGTCAGTCATCAGATGTCTCCTGATCTCATCCATCCTCCACAGATCAGGAGTAAAGCGCAGAGACACCGACATCAGAGCAACCCGACACGAACACAGATAGATGTGAAAGGGTAAGTGTCTTATATCAAGTCATCGCAAGAGGTGGTGATGTCTGTGGTGATACTGAGGTCAGACGATTGAATATATGTGAATGTGTGACCTCGAAACAAGGTGAAAAGTAAATAGACCTTTAACTATTATATACATTATTTTTAAATACAGTAAAAATGTACAGGATCAATTATGGGTTTTTTTCATATTACATTATTGAATAAATCATAAAAAAAACTTAATGGAATCAATTTAAAAATGAGCTAAGATTCAGATAAGAGTGTCAGGATAAACTAAAATTAGTATTTTTCTCTAATTTGAATCTGATTCCAAAAAGGAATGACATTATCTTGTTCACATCTTTCAAAATGATTGAATATATGTGACCTCGAAACGGCGTGGAAACTAAATAGACCTTTATTTATATTTGATTGCTTTTCAAATGTAGTGAACATAAATGTAGAGAATCATTTTTTTTATTTTTCTTTATTACTGAATCAATCATAAAGAACCATAATGGGATCAATAAAAAAAATTTAAAAAAAAGAGTAATTATTCGGAATAACTCCAAAATGATTCTTATTTTATATTATGCAAACAATGATTGTAATTCCATTAGAAATTGTGTTCACAACTTTTTTGGATCTTTTTTGAACCTTCCAAATGATGAAAACTTAACTGAATTCTAATGAATTCCATTAGTTTTTTTTTTTTTTTTTCTGTGAGACATTACTTTCTTTTCACAATACAATTGCTTGTAAAAGAGGTCAAACATCATGTTTACTACACATCTCATCCTCATCTTGACTTGGCATCCAAACTGTTGTGTTTTTTTCTTCTTCACTGCTTCTCCAAGTTCCACGTTTACGAGAAGTTTATAGTCTCCGGAGACATAACAGAGCACTTTACTTCAATCAAAGCTCTTTATAGATCCAGAATGACGTGAAAACATTGGCCCGTCTTTGTTCGCGGTAACATCCAGTCAGATGTTTCTCTAGACTTACACCGGAAGTGTTGATCCTTCGAGCAATGAGGGGAATTCCTGATTCTCCTGAAAAGTTTGAAACCTAGTGACTGGTCTTTGTAAGCCATAACAGAGCAGGAAATTACTTACCCTTCTTTTCATATTCATTTCGAGGGAGCCAGAATGCCACTGAACCTTTGTAAGAGTTCATCAAGGATGCACCGCTGCTCGTCTGTGACATCCCTCCTCCTCTGGACTTCATTGTGCTTTTGGGTCAACCGAGGACATTGACTGTGGAAACATGTCCATCCCGGGGCAATGGGGGGAATATGGTAGCTTAGAAGGAGAAGGAGGGTGTTGTTGCGGAGTTTAGTAATGCTAACAGGCCCGACACAGGTTCAACAGTTCAGAGCTCAGAAGACCAAGCGCAGAAAACGGCTTCATTTCAGAGTGCATCAACGGTGCCTTTCACACCTCAAAGGGAGACAAAAACACGATTATTTCCTCCTTGATGGAGGTGCCAAGCAAAGTGGGAGCTTTGTGATAATCCAGCAGTTCGAGTGACCTCGAGGACCACTGTTGAGGTTTTATTGAAGCTTCTCTGTTACGAGGTGCTGGAAAAAAAGAGCCGGGGCCAAGAAGAAAACCATAAACCTCCCTTTCTGTATTGCACAAACGTAAATAACATTTTTAAAATATAAAAGGTTCCTTTACAATCTTTATTTTACAGCCTCTGCTCCCACTAACGTGTTGGAGGTGCAGAGGTTTGGAAGATTCATTCACCGCTTTGTTTCTTTGCATTCTGTTCACACAGAGACAACAAAAGAGCTGTAGGCCGAGAGAATGACATACATGTGGGTGCAAAACCAGCTGGTAAAGAACAGATGTTTTATTCTTCAGATTATTTTGTGATAGCAAATCAGATTGAAGGGATCGTTCACCCACATATGACAATTCTGTCATCTTTTACTCACTTGGAAACCCATAAGACATTAGTTCTCCTGTAGAACACAAACGGAGATATTTAGCAGAATGTTCAAGCTGCTCTTTTCCATGCAGTGAAAGTGAATGTCAATCACGGCGGTTTCCACTCGGGTTGGATGCAAAAGAGCAGCTTGCGAACAACATAAGGGACTAAATAATGACACAACTTTCTTTTTTTTTGGTGAACTATCCCTTTAACACGTCCAAATCTTGAAAAAAAAAAAGTTGTGTCCGCCGTATCCATGAGAGCAGAATAAACACAGACATCTTTGATCACTATCGAGTCTTGCTCTAATGGGAGCCTCTCAGCTCTGTAAACATCACTCACGTCTCATTCGGAATGTATCGTTTAGGTGTCGACTCGCATTAAAACCCAAACGGGGTATAAAAGTTGATGGCGACTTTCCATTCTGTCAGTGCAGAAATGTCCCTATTTGGGCCTAATAGGGGCCCAAGTGAAGGGTCAAGTCCTTTATTTAGAGATCAGACAGACAGACGAGTGGTAAAAGGTCTCAGTGTTATGAGACATCTCAACACAGCTTCAGCTTAAAGGGACAGTTCACCCAAAAATGAAAATAATCATGACTCAAAAACAGTGTGGCTTTCTTTTTATACATAGAATGCAAAGAGAGAAGAAAATTGGATTTTTAAACAAAAAATAAATAAATAAAAAAAATAAGACTGTAACTTTCAATCTTCAAAAACTCACAAAAGCAAAATAAAAGTTTCATGCAGTGGTCCATTCAACTCAAACTTGCTGGGACTGGATCACTGAGTGAGTCAGACTCAGTGAAGTAAACTAGAGATTCGAATCAGTTGATTGACGAACAAATCATTCCATTTTGGTTTGTGAACTGAATCAACTGACTTGATTTATCTCGAAAAAGATTTACCTCAAAAGTTCCTTATTACATGCACTCTTATCAGCATGCCAAGGATGAGCAGATTTCAAAGATTTTCAAAGTTGAGTAAAGATCAACTTTAATTTTGTATGGCTTCAAAAGGCTTGAAATACAACACTCAAATCAGGACAGCTACCGCTAATTTATGATACTTTTGCATCCTTTTTGAAGCTTGAAAGCTTCAGGTTTTCCTTTACGTTGCATAAAGGAAAAAAGTGCAGTCATGCACTCTTCAAAATAAAGGTCCCAAAAGGATGTTTTTGTAAAGATGCCATAGAAGAACCATATTTAGTTCCCCAAAGAACCATTATTTTCCTAGTGTGAAGAACATTTTAATAATCTGAAGAAACTTTTTCTACTATAAAGAACCTTTTGTGCAATGGAAAGTTTCCATGAATGTTAAAAATTCTTCATGGGGTTTTGGAATGACCTTGGGGTTACTTTTCAGTTTTGACTCAACAATCCCTTTACAGATGCATAGACAAAAAATTATATGCATGTAACATGCATATTATGCATTTTTTCTTTCTTTTTTTTAATGCACATTTTTGCATTTTTTTTTACAAATGCATTTTGGGATCATATTTACAAGCAGTGTTTTGCATGCAACATAAAATCAACAGTTGAAAGTTGAAAGCTCGCATACTGATCCAGTGATTTTAGTTAACTCTCCAAATCTGCATGTGCTGAATTAGCTTTGGAAGGTTATAGGTCATTCTGACCTCCACACAGCCTGGATGGCCCATGCCAGCTCTTTCTCAATCGGCTTTCGCTGCTCAGACAACAGCCGTCCCTCGGACTGCCAGGTCCCAACAGTGTCCCTTCAGAAGCCATACAATAAAGGCACATACTGTAACTAATTAGCAAATCCCTTCCGACGCTACAGAGGGGTCAGGTTGTTGCGCGCTGGCCGTGAGTGTTCAGGATCGGGGCTTGTGTTGGTGTGCTAATTGCCTTTTCTCCCAGAAGCCGCTAGATAAACAGATGCGGCCCAGGCGTCTGAAGAAGACTCTTAATCCAGCAAAGTTTACCCACCAGACGCGACTGCCAGCGCCACTGTGGGAAAAACAATATTTCTCATGTGCATTGGCACAGGGAGGACGGAGGCCCGACGAGGGGGGCGTCTATAACAAACTCGCACCCCCCTTCATTTTTATTCATCAGCGCTATTTGTCCAAGCTGAATGCAACACGAGGTGAAGGGTCAGCTTAAACCCAAGGCTATTCACTCAGTCCAATGCATTTTAAGGGGCCCAGGGCCACAGATTGTAAGTCTTTTAAAGATGTCCTTTCAGAAGTGGTTAAACTGTGATTATGCCGAACAGATTGATTTGCCGCGGAGCCTGGAAAGGTGACAAAAAAAAGTGAATTTTGAAGTTTATTCTGCAGTTTTAAGGACAAGCAGACTCAATGGTTGTGCTTTGTGGCATATGATGGGCTTTACTTTTTTATTTTTTCTTACTAAAACTATTGTCAAGCTCAGAGTTTCACCCTTGATCTGTGTCCGTCTTTCTCCAGGCCCAACGTTTGTGGCACCAGGTGCTGTTATTCATGGCTGCTCAATCCCAAAACCAAACAATGCACAAAACGTGAGTATCTTTTCTGGGCCATTCAGATGCTTTCATACATTTCTATTATGCTCATAGAAAGACACAAACCTATACGGCTGCCAGTATTTCATTTAGTTCAAATCCTCTTCATTTGTCTGATTTTTCAAATGAGGCAATGAACTGAAGTGTCAGCACAGCTGGGAGCTGTAACAACATAATAAACAGATTTTTTGTCATGCATTAAGTCCTGTGTCTTGAGCAGATGATGAAGACTTTTGATGAAAACTGCTCAGCTTGTATGTTCCCATATGACACACAAACATATTTTTTGGTACTTAATATATGTTCAATTTTTAACTAATGATGACAAGTTTAGGTTGCCAAACCTGTACACAGTGTTCTTTGTTCCAGCGTGCAGCAGTTATTTGTTCAGTTAGGTAGTTGAGAAATTGTTTACGTCTTTCTTTGTTTTATTGATAGATTTTATTAGGCTTATGTGTGTTATATAATATTTATATGAAGAGTTTTCTGTTTATTACGATCGTGCATCTTACTTTCAGCAGTAAAAACGTCCTTCATGTCTGTCCACCTGATTGTGTGAACATTCTAACATTCCTCTGCTCTAAGTAGGCCAAACCTCTGAATGCACAGGGCTTCAGCAGCCTGAGCTCTAGTCCAGCATTAATCCAGTCCCTCAGCTTTCTCATCATAATCCACACCTTCCTAATCCGTATGTAGCTAGATTTACCAACTAATAACTAACCCCTTGACCCATGTGCCTTTAAAGGGCCAGTGCAACATCCAATTTTTGACTAGAAATGTGTTGGAAAGTCACACTCCAGGATTTAATCTGGGAAATACTGTAGCTTGACATGTTATGTGACGCAGTAGTAAACCATTAACAGAATGACAATATAGTTTCTCTGTTGTTCTCTCACTAGCAAGATGTCATCCGCGATGCCATAATAAAGCAGTCTGTCGCCGGCCGAACATCTGTCAGTGTCGTCCGGGCTTCCACGGCCATCGCTGTGAACATGCAAACGTCACACTGACCATGAGCACCTGGTTCGAAGCACATCCTGGTCCCACGGTACCCTCAACCTCTCCCATGGCAACAGTTGCTATGGTAACGCCCGCATCCACCACCATCCATGGCAACAGCTCCACATCTGCCTCCAGTGATGCCAGTTCAGATACAAGAAAGACATATTCATTACACTGGCAGCCACCCAGGTGAGTGAACTCTTCATGACTGAGACTAATGTGTTTTAAACTAAAGCGACTGGCTTGTAAAGCATGGCTATATTAGGAATGGAATATTTGCTTACCATGCCGTTTTAATCCAGTTTGAAGTAAAAATATAGTAACAGTCAATAAATACTTAAAGGTCACACTGGTTTTGGAAAGTTATGTTGAGCAAGTTGTATTAATGGATACAGTGTTTCATGCAGCGTGATGTTTATGTATCACCAGCTCTATTTTGTCTTCCTAAACAAGCAGTATAACAATGAAATATATATATATTAGGGGTGTAACGGTACAGTTCAGTTCGGTACGCATATATATATATTTTTTTTTCCATAAAATGGAAAAAGTGAAATGATGCACCTTAAAGTGTTAATCCAACAATTGTCTAATCCATTGTAATTTTCCAGTGGAACTTAAATATGTCAATTAAAATAGCAAGCAAATAAAATAAAATGAAAGTGCCCCTATTATGGGTAATGAAAGGTTCATATTTTGGTTTTGGGAGTCCCCAACAACAGGTTGACATGCATGCAAGGTCAAAAAACACTTTCATTGTCTTATAATATGCATTTATTTTTACCTAATTTGCTCAACGACTCCCAAACGATTCGCTCAACAATTCATTTTTCCAAACCCCTCCTTTGCGTGACGCTAATCTGCGGTGATTGGTCAATTTCATTTCCATTTCATCATGCCTGTAATGCCTGATAAAGCAGAATTTGTGAGCAGTGCTGCTTTGTGTACAGCCGTTACCGGGGAAACAGCTATTTTCCCAGGTCTGCACACGCAACAAGTGGGCGGGCAATATGCTAATGTTTAATGTTGACGTCAACATGAAACGGCTTGGGATTCGTTTTAAAAACAACCCGTTTCAATGATTCAGAGTCGACTCTTTCTTTTGAGAGACAATAACTTTATACACGGTGCACTTTCAGATTTAAAACTTTGCAGGATGTTTTCATTCACTTAGAGCTGTGTTACACACTGCATGAAAGGTAATTTTCAAAAATCCATAATAGGGGTAGAATTTAGCCTATGTTTTCATTGCATATCTGATCAATTATTATGTTTTAGCCTATGAAGTATAATTTAACAATACGAATAAAACAAAGCGCCATTTGTTGTATCATACCTATATGATAATCATCTTCACTGCGCAATCTCAGGAACGAGACCTTCCCATCCCGGATAAATCCAGCAAAACTCCTTCCAGCTGACATGTCCTGAACTGCTGTTTTCGGACACACAGATCGTATTCCAGAATCGCCATGTTTGACTTAACAAGTGGGCGGGCAATATGCTAATGTTTCATGTTGACGTCAACATGAAACGGCTTGAGATTCGACTCTTTCTTTTGAGAGACAATAACTTTATACACGGTGCACTTTCAGATTTAACATTTTGCAGGATGTTTTAAATCAAAGGTCATTTTCAAAAATCCATAATAGGGGCACTTTTAGGGGCACATAATAGGGGAAAGAAAGAAAGAAAGAAAGAAAGAAAGAAAGAAAGAAAGAAAGAAAGACTAATGCAGAGAGAAATTATTAGACATAAATAAGAAATCTTTACATTGTAACATTTTCAAAGATGTACTTTTAATTTGCCCAATATTGCTGGAAGCATAATAATAGTCATTTATGTCTGTAGTTTTTAATTTGAAACATATTTATCAAAATTACTATTAATTTTTTAGGTATATGGAAAAAATGACATGATGCACCTTTAAGTGGAAAATGTACAGTTTACAGTACGAATTTTGACAATAATACAGATAAAGCTAGCAGCAACCGCAATCATATCACTTTTTTTTCCACAAGCGTTAAAATATATATTAAATATAATTATATATATATATACACACAAATAAATACATTATACATAACACATTATATACATAGATACATAACTAATATAACTAAATAAAAAATAATAGACCTAAAAAATCTTTGCATTGTAACATTTTTCAATATTAATTGAAATGTTGGTGGGAAGCATAATGGCAGAATCTCAATTCAGAATGGATTTCTTTATTCCAGTTTGTTGACATTCTTTCCATAAAATTATTTCCATAAGAAACAAAATGTGCATTACTAGGACATGTCTATAGGAGGCGCTCTAATACTCCAAATTCATATCTACTGTAAATAGCCATCTGTCTGTACTGTACCTCGCTGCCAGCATATGGCAGCACAGGACTTGTATTTATATCAGTGAAATCAGCACATTCAAGAACCTCATTGTTTGATCGCTCTTGTTCCCACCTGACTTGGTAGGTCGGAAACATACAGAACTAGGTACTCAAAGCACGTTGGAGGTTTCTTCTTGTTTACTGAAGGGTTTTAATTCTATTCAAATGCTAAACAACTGTAACACCTGTATAGACTGATTTTAAGTATATTTTTTCTTATACCGAGACCTGAAGTAACCCTTATCTTCTCACAGCTCACTCTCCACCCTGAAATGAAAAATAGAGCTATCTCTAATCTCACCTCATGTTTTGCCAAGGTGGATAATGTGGAGTAGAAGACATACTGCTCGCCCTGTAACTGACATATTTATTGTGATTGGCTGCCTCACAGGCAGATGCTTCTTTTATATTGTATTCAGATGAAAGAAGATGCAAAAGAACAAAAGGCTCTGAAGAAAAGTGTTATGATTGGACAGCCACACCTCATCTGATCTCAGATTGATGGGGCAATGAATACCATAAAGTTTGGGCGTTTTGTCCCTTGGTAGACTCTGATCAGAGCTTTGATATTCAAGATGGAATGTATCTAGATAGAAAGCATATTTGCAGTCATGGTTAAGAAGTGGTTTATTGGAACTCCAATGGGTCAGTGGAGAGGCACAAAACACAGGTCAGTTTAGTAATGTTAGTTAATGTTCTTAATGCAAGTTTGTTGGTAGATTAGCCCAAATAACAATAAATGTGTAAACATTTGTGAAATTTTTAGAGATTATTTCAGTTTGGACTTGTATATTTCTGTTGGGCCTGTTCATGTGCGAGAATATTGCCTGTCAGAGAAGAATTTACAACATTTTGGATTTTAAGACAGTAGTTTTGATCCAATACGATGAAACTAGATCTAATTAGAAATATATTTACTAGTGTTGTCATGATATTAGGATTTCTAACTTTGATACAATACCTTGACAAACTTCCACCGACAATAGCATTTTTGACAATACCACAGGGAAATATTGGTATAAAATTAAGGGCAAAAATACATACTTTAAATGAATGTACTTTTGACAATAATTAAAGTATTTCCTTATGAAACTTATTTGAGATTATTTAGTCCCATATAATAATAATAATAATAATAATTATTATTATTATTATCATTATTATTATCATTATTATAACCATAATTATAATAATTATTAATCCATCTCTAAGATGGAACTATATTACTGCTGTGATACATCCACACTGTAAAAAAAATATTAATTAAAAAATGTTTTTTTGTTGTTGTTTTTTTTACAGTAGTAAAATTAGAATACTTGTGTCTTAATGTGTTCACTTGCAAAAGTTAAACCCTCAAGCTTTTCTTGTGGAAGAAAATTGCATGGAGAACTTTACATTCTGTGTTTTCAAATGCTGATTTACTGTGAACTTGCTCTGAGATACTAAAAAACAGCAGATCATGAGCTGCTTGCGTGCAAATGAACACAGTGCCGCGCTTCACTTTGAAACACGCAATGCAATGTACTGAAACTGTTTCAAATATTCAGAATTAATATGGTTTGAAATCTGCTTTACTCTAAAACCAATACAATTTGGGTTTGTGTCCTAGTTTGAGAGATTTACTGCCTTCATGAGGTCTATCAGGCCCACTCTGCTATGATCTCAGACTGTTGAGCAAGTCCTCTGCTGAATCTAAGCTTGGGAAGGAAGTTCCTGCCCTGTGGAAACACTTCTCTCACAATAGACTATTGAAAGACTGCATTTATGGGTCAGTTTCAATGATCTACCTGATGGGCCAATGCTACATACTCACTCTGTGCTGACAGCCTGCAATTTCCCCATCTTTCAAAAGTTTTTATATCACATTCAATGTGTGAACTAGATATGTCAGATAAGTTCTCTGTTTTTGAAAGTCCCAAGTCTGGCAACTAAACCCAGCGAGTGTAATCTCTAAAACAAGCAAGTTCTGCTTTTATTTCCATGGCTTTTCTAGTCAGATATGAATGCTTACATTAGTTTGCTATGAATGGTATGTGCTCTGCATATGTATTTTAGAAATGTTCTCTAAATGGTAGTATATCATCACAGAGGACCAAGCTTATTAGCTGTTTGGGGGATTTTTACAAAGCAAAAAATAAAGAATGGAAATATGACTGCACCCCAAAGACGGGAATTTTACTTGCCTCTTTTATTGACAATAAAATAATATTGCACTTGGAACAATTTATATAATTTCTTGAATCAGAGACATGGTCTATATTTGAAAAATAGAGTATAAGATTGATTATCATTATGGTTCATTTTGCTGGAGCTCACTGCAAATCTAGGAGTCCCCCAGGGCTCTGTATTAGGACCTCTTATGTCATGGTTTTCTGTGAATAGGGCCTCGCTCAATCATCTCCTTTAGTAGCGGGGGTGTTTAAGCAGAGAGTGTGTGTGTGTGTGTATAACACATGCACAGTTGGGAAGGTTGCATATAAAATGGTCATACATTTTATAGGCTGTTTGCTGTTGACCCAAGCTCACGTCAGCTTGTTTTCACTGTAAATTATCTCTGTTTGGGAAAATTAGCTCATGGCATTTATTTTATTTTTATTTTTTTTTGTGGATTTCTTTTTGCACTTTTAAAGGGCTTTTCATTTTGGCTTGTGTTTCAGTTTAAAAGACGCCCAGTCGGTCCTGTTAAAAAAAGCTCTGTCCAGTGGAACCGGTGGAGAGAAGATCACAAGTGTTATACTGAAGTACATTGAATCAGAGCAAAGAAGACTGGAGTCTTCATCCTCTACCGGAGCAACAAAAATCTCCAGCACCAAAACCTTCCACACTCAGCACGGCCAGTTCACCCTCATCTACACCGCAGGTCAGTTCAAGCCAGCAGGGATGAAATATCAAATGCGTTAGGCAAAATATTCACCTCATATCCTTCCCTGCAGAAAAGAACGTTTTAAATGAGATCCCTCTAATAGTTAAATGGTTTCTCCTAAACATCAATGAGATTAAATGATGAGCCAATGGAGACTTTGGCTTTGTCTCTTAAAATGAACAAATGAGATCTCAAAAATGCCTTAAACATCGATCTTATACTTAAGTCTTAAAAAATCTTAAGTCTCTGCTATCAAAAGTCAGAGATTTCATTATGATATCAAACTCAAAGATCAAATTATCTGACCTGTATGTTTCACAGAATTTGTCTAGCATTTCTCATTTTTATTGCAATTTACCCATTTAAAATATATTTTAGCTATGTCTTTTCCTGGCAGAAACTGTAAAATATATAAATAAAATAGTTTTTATGTTTTTTTTTTTTCATTATGATATCAAACTCAAAGATCAAATTATCTGACCTGTATGTTTCACAGAATTTGTCTAGCATTGTAGTCGAACAGAATCTCAGCAATTGTCTCATTTAATAGTGATTTTTCTTATGTGTTCATTCTTATTTTTACTTTTTGAAGCATAAATGAGTTATGAAAGCGCAACCAGTGAGCAATGCAATTTTCCTCTGGGTGATCAAACAAACATCTTTTAGCTTTTTGAAGCTTTCTACCGTTAGTAACATTAGTATTAGTATATGAAAACAATTCCCATTGTAAATTTTAAGGTCTTTGGCTTTGTCTCTTAAAATGAGCAAATGAGATCTCAAAAATGCCTTAAACATCGATCTTATAAGTCTTAAAAAATCTTAAGTCTCTGCTATCAAAAGTCAGAGATTTCATTATGATATCAAACTCAAAGATCAAATTATCTGACCTGTATGTTTCACAGAATTTGTCTAGCATTGTAGTCGAACAGAATCTCAGCAATTGTCTCATTTAATAGTGATTTTTCTTATGTGTTCATTCTTATTTTTACTTTTTGAAGCATAAATGAGTTATGAAAGCGCAACCAGTGAGCAATGCAATTTTCCTCTGGGTGATCAAACAAACATCTTTTAGCTTTTTGAAGCTTTCTACCGTTAGTAACATTAGTATTAGTATATGAAAACAATTCCCATTGTAAATTTTAAGGTAGTGTTTCTCAGCCAAGGGTCCGGGGCCCACTAGGGGGCCTCAGCACACACTCTAAAAAATGCTGCGTTGTTTCAACCCAACTTTGGGTCAAATATGGACTAACCCAACCGCTGGGTTAATTTTTTACATTCAATTTTTAACCCAAAAGTTGGGTTAGTCCATATTTGACCCAAAGTTGGGTTGAAACAACCCAGCATTTTTTAGAGTGCACTTACAAGGAAGGGGCCTTCAAGTTAAGCTAACATTATTTGAAAGAGACATAACAACTAAAAATCCAGTTATTTATTATTTTAACTCACTGCCTCAACATCTTGAAACTTCTGTGAAGAACTGGATTTTTCATGGTCTTGGAATAACCTGGAAATATGAGGTAGCCTTAGTTAAAAAGTATGATTTTTAGACCTGAAAATGTAACAAAAATAAGTAAGTAAATAAATAAGTAAATAAATAAATAAAGAACTTATTTTGTGTGTGTTATATAAGTTGTAAATAAAGATTATTGGACTATGTTTGACAATAAAATACTACTTAAGTCATTCTACTTCATAATGTAATGCTTAAATCAATGTGATATTTGCCTTTTTTGTAATTATTTGTGAAATTTACTAACAATTTCTAAGTGAAAATCATTCCAAGTAAATTCTATACCATTTTAGTGTATTGCTCATACTACATATTTTATTAGTTAGAAAAGTCTTGAAAAGTCATGGGACGTGTTGTTATTGTGGACTTGGAGTCCAAAAGGTGAAGAACCACAGTTTTAAGGTTTATACAGGTATCTGTGTCAACATGTTAACCTTTTCTTTGGAAGCAGCAGCAATGGTTTCAAATCAGCGGGCTTGAGTAGAGAATATCTTGTTTTAATATTTCGGCCTGTTTCCTGGTCTAAAACGTTTGTGCCGCGATAAGGTTTATCTGCCTGTAGATTCGGGCTGGTTCATTGAGACAGGCCTGGATACACCATTGTAGTATATTCCTGCCGTTGTTTAGCTTGGCTGAGAGGTGATGGTGCAGTAATTACTCAGGAGATGGATGTGGTGTTTTGCTAATGAGAACCCCTGTGTCTCCATGACCTCATAACACACTGGAACGGCCCTCTGTGGCAGCGCATGGGAAGTGTGAGGAGACTGACCTCTTTCTTACTCACACACACACGCACACACAGAGAGAGAGAGAGAGACGGCTAATGTTGCTTATCTCTAGATTTATGTTCTTCAAGCTCTTGAATATGAAGCTGTAGCTGATAAATGAAGCTCTAGGGAGTAAAAACTTTGAGTGGCATGTTACAGCAGTTCTTCAGTCTGGTCCAGAATATTTTTGTTTCAGGTTATTCATGGAATTCACTTAATATCTATTATATTTTATTATGAAGCAGGGTTATTGTCGTAACCTAATACTAGAAAAATAAATAAATAAAATAAATAATTATATAACTAACTAACTAAATAAATAAATAAACAAATAGTAAAAAATAAAAATATGAAACCATTACTGAAAATAAAATAAGCATTAACTATAATGAAATAAAGTAATATGTTAAAAATATATTAAAACTTTAAAATTAAATTGAAAGCAGAAAATGTACAAAATGTAAAATCTAATTCAAAATGTCCACATCAATGGGGGAAAAAAAAAACGAAAACATAAAAATAAACCATAAAAATGTTCAATATTTAAATTAAAAAGTTTTAGATTTTAGCTTTATAGTATTAAAACTTAATAGAAACTATATAGACCTATTTATATAAAAAATTACAAAAATGGCCAAAACACAACAAAAATACTAAAAAAAACTTGAACTAAAATTAAAACAAAAACAGAACATATCAAATTACATTAAATCTAAAGTATTCACAAAATTATAATAATGATAAAAACTAAAACCATAAAACTAAACCAATAAAACATATTAATTACTTGAAATAAAATAAACTTTAACTGAAATAAGGTACTGCCAAGGCAACATTTAACTTTTTTTAAGTTAAAGTACTAAAATAGCTAAAATTATTGTAAGTGTCTATAAATGGTTTTTAGTTTCCTAACACTAAAACATATTTATATTTTAAAAAAAGAAAGAAAATTACAAAAATTTTAACTAAAGTTAAAACGATAAAATATAAAAATAGAATCTAAAATATTCTCAAAAACTATAATAGGATATAAATGATACTACAATAACACTGTTATGAAGAAGTTTAATCTGAGGAATGTGTGAGCTGAGGTTATTCTCAGTTCTCTGAGCTTTGTCTATACAGTTTCTCCCTAGCTGAGTGTGGTTTTATGTAATGAAGTGTGCTCTGCAGCCCACAGATATTCCCCACAGTCCGGCCTTTAAATCCAGAGCCAGCATGTAAACAACCCCACGTGACCTCAGGGCTTCCCTCTCCTCTCTCCTTTAACTTCAAACGCTATAATACACCTTCTCCAGCCGCATAACCTCAACACTTATTGCCCGGCGAAGTGAAAAACGCTCGAATGAAGGATGTCGTCTCACGTGGAAAAGAAAAGCCAGATCTCTGGAAATGCAACACTTCATGCCGGCTGAATCCAAGTTTCCACGCTGAGAGAGTTTGTAATGTAATGTGACAGAAGCTCAGCATTCCAGCGCATGAGGAAACCACTTCTTCATTAATGACCTGTTTTTGTGATGACGAGTGAAATGGCACACTTTATAAATATTTATTCTTGTACAGCGAGAGCTGAATTCCACTGGTGTCACGCGTCAGTACGATGAGCGCAAGACAGTCATATAGATCCGTTACACAATAGCTTGACCCTTAAGCTCTTCCTCAGGATTTTATTGTCCAGTTTGTTTTGCCAAGTATGAATGCTTGTGTGAGATATTGTTGATAGTGGATTTTGGTGAGTTTATGATTAATGCTGTTTTTCCCCAGTGTCTGTGCACTGATGTGACCTGTTCTTCTGCGGTTTTAGAGTCAAGAGAGATTTTAGATTCGATTTTAGATTCAAAGAGGTTGTAATTTGACACTGAGTGAATGACGATCTCAGGCGATATTGCTCATGGTGTGCTCCAAAAAATCCCAAAAGTCCCTCTTAAAACCAATCAATGGCCTGAGAATCCTGAGCTGGATTACATGAATATGGTATTTCAGTGTCCCTTTACTATTTTACATAAGCTTTAGAGGCACACATCACATGTATCTGTTCATTTTGAGAATTGTTTGAAATGTTGGATAAATATCTAATCTAATATATATAAAGTCAGGTTAGAATGAAGAAATACTTTCCCCATTTTTAAGATACAGTAGGAATGAATTGATATTAAAATTACCTGAAGCTGTTATTGATTGTTTATATAAGTTGATAATTTTTCAGGGCTGATGACAGATAAGTGGTTGATATTGAAATGGCATGCTATTGTGCGTATCTAAAAAATGAAAGACTGAAAGCTAACATTCACTCCATAAATAAACAAGTTTGTATTAGTTAATTTATAATTAATTACAATTATTTTTTAAGATTTTGTCTTTACTTTTTATGTTTATTTTAAGTTTAGTTCTACAAAAACATTTTTTTTTTTTCGTTTTCTTCGATTTTTGTAAGATGGTTGCAATTATTGAAATCTAAACACAAACAAACAAATAGACAAAAAGTTTTTTTTTTAAAGGATTTATTTTTTAAAGATGATTTTAAGTAATTTATTTTAATAAAGATTTTTTAAAGTTGTCTTTATATTTTGTATGTGTTTTTAAATCTATATGTGTAATGTTTATTTAATTTTTAATCTACAGATAGTTTTAAACTGTGTTTTACGTCTTCAGTTTTGGTACCATGGATATGGATTATACAAATAAATATACATTAATTTATTAAATAAATCAATTTATTC